ATGTGGCTGAAAAAAAGTTTTTTTTTCGGAAAACAGTGCCATCTGTTGGATGGAAGAGCAATACACGCTGTAATCTCTGAAAGTTCTTCATCGATTGCTTTGAAATTTTGGAACAACGTTCCATTCGAATACATGGGTGTTTTTATATGCCTACTATATAGATGCCCCATCTGTGGCAGGTAAAAACATGTTTTTTTGGTAAAACAACGCCATCTGTTGAGCATAATAGCAATACACACACTATACTAAATATTTTGATTACATTTCAATGTTTCCAATTGCATTGACAAATTGAATTTTCATAGGTTTCGATTTATTTTCATTTTGATTTAATTATCTTGCGTGACAATGAGTTGGAATTAAGCTATGTTGTTTAACCATACTATTCATTTCGTGTGTATAGTTTTTTCCTTGTTTTCATTTCGTTTTTTTAACTGTATTTCTAATATTTCAGTGATGGGAACATCAGATCATTTTAGGTTCCCAATTTTCTGATGTGAACACCAGATCAATTGGGAATTTATTGGACGAGGGAGTGGGGAATGGTGGGGATGACAAGGACGCGGGGCAGTAGGAGATGGTGTGGAGTACGAGGGGACAGTGGAGTGGGGGATGGTAGGGAAGACAAAAGGACGAGGGAAGAGGGGCAATGGTGGGGAGGACGAGGGCATTGGTGAGAGGGGAATGGTTGGGAGTATGAGGGGATGGGGGAGTGAGGAAGGGTTGGGAGGACGAAGGGATGGGAATGGTGGGGAGGACTGGGAGACTGGAGGAAGGTTGCTGAGCCACAGCAACACGTGGCCGGGTACAGCTAGTCTACATAAATAAAAATGGAAATGTTCGTTTGTTCAAAATCGCTAATCTCCGAAAGTTCTTCACTGATTACTTTGAAATTTTCACACAATGTTCCATTCGCATCCGAGCAGGTTTTTATATACATATTATGTTGATGTCATGTCTAATGGAAAATACATCCTTTAAAAAAAAACTGTTTTCATGTGTTTTTCATGTGAGAGAAATCTTCGAAACCTCTTTACCGATTGCATTGAAATTTTGACATGACGTTTCATTTGAATAGGCGCGTGTTTCTATAAACCTTCTATATACATGCCTTACCTGTGACGGGAAAATACATGTTTTTTTTTAAACAATGCCATCTGTTGAACGTAAGAGCAACACACGCTCTAATCTCCAAAAGTTCTTCCCTGATTGCTTTGAAATTTTGACAACGTTCCATTCGAATACTCGCATGCTTTTATATACCTACTATATAGATAAAACACCTGTGACTGGTAAAAACAAGCATTTCTTTAAAACAGAGCCATCTGTTGCTCGCAAAAGCCACACATGCTATACTAAAAGTTATGATTGCATTTCACTGTTTTCGATTGCATTAATAAATTTAATTTTCATAGATTTAGATTTATTTTCATTTTTATTTAATTATGTTGTTGGACATTGTGTAGGAATTGAGCTGTGTTGTTTACAATACTGTTCGTTTCGTGAGAATAAGTATAGTTGCCACACCTGTGACAAGTAAAACCATGCTTTGTTTGAAAAACAGCTCCATCTGTTGTACGTAGGAGCAACACCCACAATACTAAATATGCTACGATTCTATTTCAATGTTTCTGATTGCATCAATAAATTGAAAATTCATCAATTTCGATTTATTTTCATTTTGATATCATTATTTTGTGTGACACTGCCTTAGAATTGAGTTGTGTTCTTAACCATACCTTTCATGAGTATAGTTTATTTTTTAATTATTTCGTTGTTTTTCATTTGTTTTTTACTATTCTTATTTTTCAGTGATGGGAACATCAGATTATTTATTGTTCCAAATTTTCTGAAGGGAATACCAGATGATATGGGAATGCATCAGACAATGGAGTGGGGAATGGTGGGGAGGACGAGAGGACGGGAGTGGAGGATGATGGGGGACAACGAGGGGACAGAGTAAGAATGGGAGGAGGACGAGGGGACATGGGAGTTGGGGATGGTGGGGAGGAGGGGAGGGTGGAATAAATATTGGTGGGGAGGACAAGAAGATAGAGTGGGGAATGGTGAGGGAGGAAGATGAGACAGGGGATGGGACAATGGTAGGAAGGGCGAGGGGATGGGGGAGGAGTGGGAGAATGGTGGGGAGGACGAGGGGATAATGGAGTGGGGAATGGTGGGGAGGACAAGGGGATGGTGGGGAAAACAAGAGGACGGGGGAAATGGTGGGGAGGACGAGAGGCTGTGGGAGAGGAGAATGGTTTGGAGGACGAGGAGACGGAGGAGTGGGGAATAGTTGGGTGGACTAGGGAATGGGGTTGAGCAGAATGATGAGGAGGACTGGGGGACAGGGAAAGATTGCTGTGGCCGGGTACAGCGAGTTATCAATAAAAGCAGTAGAACCCCAAACCACCACCTTACAATGAGGAAACTACTATCCCAAGTCAATAAACCCTTCGACCCCTTGGGACTATTAACCACTGGGTCTGCGCCGGCCGACAATACTCGTGGCAGATAAAGCCCAGGCCAAGAAAACCATTGTTTAATATTTCCTATCATTCAAAACGCACGGCTTGGAGGCTGGGTATAAGATGTAAGATATAAGATAAGACAAAAAATGAGTAAAAGGTGCTGAGAATATTGGCTGGCTGAAAACCTCCATAAATACACATAGCGTATGCTATATGGATGTATCAGCCTTGAGAGCACAGATTATTCTAAATCCAACTGCTCGTGCATGCTTAGTCATCGGCTATGCAGATGGTGCTGAAGTTGAGTGGAGTCGCCAATTCACCAATGGGAAGCGTGCTGGCTGGAAGTGGTAGTTTGATGATCGACGAGGGTGGTGTGGCGACAGCGAGGAGGGGGGTTGGAGAGCGAGTGTAGGGTATGTATACCGCCTGTAGAAACGTATTCTACTAAATATATACTACTCTTGATTGTAGTATCTAGATGTTGTAGATGTACTGAAGTAACATGATGTAGGAAAGAGCAGGCCAAATCTCTCTTGAAAGAGATTATCGTCACATCTTATATAATGTTATACACATAGTTTGCTACAATATTTTTTGCAATAATCCTCAAATTATGCTAAAATGTACCTGTGGATAACCTTTAAATTTACTTCAATGTACCCACTTTTTTTCTGTCAAATTTCTTACATAATGTATTTTTTTATATTGTACCTTCTTACAATGCATTTTTATACCTTCTTACAACGTATTTTTATACTTTCTTGCAATATATTTTTATACTTTCTTACAATGTACCTGTAAACATTTTTAATTTTGCTAGAAATTACTTTCTTAAAATTATGTGTTAGATTAAGGATATCACCTAAATGCTATGCGTGCTATTGGCTTTACAAAAATGTAAACGTTCAAGTCTCTGTACAATGTATCTTCTTGTATATACATAAATAAATAAATAAATAAATAAACAAATAAATAAGTACAGAGATGAGGACGATACAGCGATAGTATCCATTTCAGTGGAAGCAGCACGCAAGGTGGGGCATCATAGGTCATCGCCCTTGCCAGTAATATCCCCACCACCTGTGCCATTTCCAATTTTTGTCGAAAGTGATACTGTTGATGAATCATTTTCTGGGTTCAGTGACGCTGCTTCTGATACAAGTAGCATACATGAGCTGAGTTATAGCGGCTACCATCATGGTATTACTAGGCGGAGATCTGCTGTCTTCAGCAGGAGGCCCTACCAAGCGCCGCCATGTCACCCCTCACGACGACACTGATGACAATGTTGCCTCTACATCTAGTTTCCTTGCTCGCCCTAATAGTGTACAAGGTAGAAGAGCTTCAGGTCCAGACCAACGGAGATTTAGTGAAAGAAAACGAATCCCTAGTTGTGGTGCCCAAAGAATTGGCGATCGTGGTGGTGGTACCAGTACAAGGAGCTTGGGGGAATTGGTGTTAGAGAACTGTAATATTTTTGTACCACACAAACTTCCATTTGATGATAGTGATGTAGGGGAAATGCACCCATATTCCCGAATACAGGTGACGACATGAGTGAAAGTGATTATTTTATTGCTTATTTTGATGAGCAATTCATGCAACATCTTGTTGACGAAACCAACAGATATGTTGGGCAACTTAATGCAGGTGACTTCTTACCTGCTTCACGTATGATACGTTGGAAGGACACCACTGTTGCTGAGTTGTGTGTGTTCTTAGGTCTGTGTATGCTTATGGAACATTCGGTGAAGCTCTTCATATAGGATTATGGGAACAAAGACTGCGCAGTTCCAACCCCAGTGTTCAACAAGTACATGTCACGGGATAGGTTCCTGATATCACTATGGGACCTACACTTTGAAAACCTTTCAAATGTTGAACGAAATGATCGACTTTGTAGAGTACGAAAAGTGTTTTGTGATATCAGAGGGAAATTTCCTTATTACTTTCTACACGGCTAGAATGTTGTCATTGACGAATCCCTAGTTCTTTTCAAGGGACGTCTTCTCTTCAAACAGTACATTACATCGAAATGGCACCGTTTTGGCCTCAAATTATTTGAACTGTGCGACTGTGAAACTGGAATGGTGATCAATATGATATTATATTCCAATACAGACATAGCCATACCCGCACAGAATACTCACAGGTTTTCTGGCAGTGTGGTGAAGACGCTCATGGAACCAGTGCTGAACAAGGGAGACATACTGTACACTGATATTAATTATTATACGAGCCCATTCTTAACAAAGTTCCTGCTTGAACATAACACGGGAGTATGTGGCACTGTAAAGACATAGGAAAGAAATGCCAGAATTTGAAAATAATATTATCCGTTGACTGTGAACTAAGAAAATGTGACGAGATTTTAGCAGAGTTCGAAATTTCAAACATCGGTTCACAGTAAATAGTCGGTGGAATGCAGTTTGGATCCGAGAGTACTTAACTCTACTGAGGGAGTATCACTACGGGGCAAACAACCCCTATAATAGAATACAACTACAACCTGGCGATGTTGTTCTGATGGACCGTGACTGTCCATGCTCAGAGTGGCCTCTAGGCCGTATTGTTTCTGTCCATTCAGAGACCCAGCGTGTCTTGAGATTAGTGAATGTGAAGTGCAAAGGCACAACTAGCCTCAAGACACTGGAAAAATTAGTTTCCTTGGAGCAAGCAGAAAATCAAGCTGCTCAGAGACCTCTTACACCTGAAACTCCAATACAGAGCATCCATCCTATACGAAACAGTGGGCTGTGACCAGTATTTCATCCCCCGAAATTATGTGGGCTAAAACTCATACATCACCCATAAATTGGTAATGCAACAGGTAGAAATAAATTTCTACTGGGTGTGTTAATTCCATTACAAATAAACACATTAGTTGGTCAAAGAGACTGAAAATGACAACTTTACTACAGAAAATGGGGTTGATTTTCCCGTATCATCATCATCTCATAACATAATCTATTTAGTTAATTTTACACTAAAATCCTCAGTCTCAGAACTGAAACCAAAATTAAGTGAATCTTTTAAATTAATTATATAATAAAAAAGATTTGACATCAAACTTATTCCTCCTTCCGAGTCTCAATGAAAACGAGTTTAGTTTGATGGCGAGGGAGGAGGAGAGCCATCATGGTTGTTGTTGATGAAACTTGATCCGCGACAGAGCGTGCCTTCCACAACACAGAAAATTACTCCATCAAGTCCCAGAAAGCAGCGCCGCTTAAATTGATCACTATTTGTTGCCAAGACTTGATAGTACTAACTATAGTGCAGAGTTCGGATTTTTCTAATAGTACATAATTTTTGGCCATAAATATGTAAGTAGGATTAAATCATTATATTACAGTTTTCCTGCATCATTGCAGGAAAACTCAAATTAAACTCAACCATCTGAAAGGGTAAGGTTTATTAATTATTAATTACTTAAATTTAATTTCATGTGTAAAACCTAACATATTTCATGTGCTTTACACATTATCACCAGTTTTTACGGTGTAAAAATGACTTTTTACGGTGTTGTGCACGAAACATCAGTTCAGCTGATATATCCCAGGACCACGTGGACATCATTAGTACATGTCCAATAAGGAGTACCCGTTTGCGAGAGGTATCTGACGTTGGATGACCAGCCAACACTACCGAATCAGCTGAGTCCGTTTTAAATTATAATTAACACATTTGTAGCAATACTACTAATTATTTAATAACAGTTTAGTTCATAAATTATAATAACTATTTCATTACTGTGTGATAAACTGAATTATGCCCCCCCCCCCCCAAAAAAAAAGTGTGAATGGAAGTTTATAAAAATACAGTCAATTCAGAAGTAGTAAATACAATTTGGAACAACCTCTTGAATTAATAAACAAATCATTCATTGGAAGATTCTCCCCCCCCCCTCTGACGGCCGCAGGAGAATTAAACGTCTACAAAATTTGATCTAAACATTTCGACGTATATAAATAAGTGCCATCGGTAGCAGTCAGCATGATACACAGACACCTTCATAGTGTTCACGTTCGAGAATTGCAGGGAATAGGTTAATATGTTGCTGAATTGAAGTTATAGAATGTCGCAATACATTCCACAATCAACTGCTTGAGGTAAACTGGACACCAAATGAAAATATGTGAACCACAATATCACTTGACTTACGACATGCACTTGAATGTGGATTTTATCAAGTCTATATAAACACATCAGTGAGGTTGAGAAGATGGATGAAATCAGCAATTTATAACTATAATATTAATAATGTATAAAATACCACAGAATTACCAGTAAAATGCCAATTCATGACTTAAAAGAGTTATGATAATTATAAAAAATCAGCCGTTCCAAATAACATTAAGAAAAAGATTCAATAATCTCAAAGTAACATTAATGGTTTTTAAATTTGGAAATAAATTACATACAGTCCACTAATAACTATAATTGTAATAATTATCAAATATTATTATTTCTATGAGCTGCAATATTATAGTAAGCAGTATAGTTACATACAAAATAAAAGTTTATTTTCAACAGATATACGTATGTGAGACCTCATGATGGCTTATGGGGAACTCAGCAGAGTGATGGTTCATGGACTGGCATGGTGGGTATGGTGAGCAGGGAGGTAAGTTGATGAGCTATATTGATCCACCAGTAGAATGGGTCCTGGTCTGGCATTGTGGTAATCTGACCACTGCACTAGCAATTATCCAGCTGGTGCATAGTATGCTCTGGCCAGAATACCAGTTTACAATTAGGTTTCTTCAAAGTCTACTTAGAAAAAACAAGATCAGCTTTTATTTCCATGTGGCTTTTGCGGTTGGTAATGATTAGTTTAGTCGCTGTGCACCAGGGGAGTGGACTACGGGCTCACCATAGCCCGTGCTACTTGGAACATTTTGTTCCAGGTAGCGAATCTTAAACAAATATATAAAGGCCTGATTTGCCTGATAAGCCAAGTTTTCCTGATAAGCCAAGTTTAAGCTAATGGGCTCAGGAACTCAACCCCATAGTTTGTTTAGCTAAGCAAGTGACAAGCTTGTGAAGCTAGTTATACAATTGTATATATATATATATATATATATATATATATATATATATATATATATATATATATATATATATATATATATATATATATATATATATATATATATATATATATATATATATGTATATATATATATATATTATAATATATATATACATATATGTATATAATATATATATACATATATACATATATATATAAATATATATATATATATATATATATATATATATATATATATATATATATATATATATATATATATATATATTTTATATGGAAGGGAGTACCACCTCTAGCTGGAAGAAGGGGGACCCATAGCCTCGGAGGAAACCATGCATAACGCATTAGAGGGAATGTTTAGATCCCCTCCAATACAGTTTCTGTGTGCTTTTCTCCTACCACCCCCCCTTCCTTTTTTATTTTTTGTGCTTTATTATGCATTTGATGGTTACAAGATATACATGAGTTGATCAAAAATAATAATGCAAAAAGGTGCTTAAAGGTTATGGATCTCTTGAAAAACACAACAATGGGAATTTATATATATATATATATATATATATATATATATATATATATATATATATATATATATATATATATATTTATATATATATATATATATATATATATATATATATATATATATATATATATATATATATATATATATATATATACAGTGGTACCTCGGAATGCGAGTGTCCCTGTATGCGAGTTTTTCGGAAGACGAGCAGGATTTACTCCAAAAATATGTCTCGGAAGGCAAGGGTTACCTCGGGACGCGAGTTTGTTGATTCGTGTACAGGCCGACTGGCGCGTGGTGGCATGGCGATTGCGCCTCAGTTTACCAGTGTCTCGTGTCCAGTGACTATCCCACCTGAATTCTTCACAAGGATTTACAGTTTTTTATCGGTTTTTTGGCCATTTGAGCATAAAAGTTGTCATTATATATCTTGCCATGGGTCTCAAGAAAGCCATTGGTAAGGTTCAACCTAAGAAAATAGCTGTGAGTAGAGGCAGTAGAGGATGTCCCTTCTTGATTAAGAAAATGTGTGAAGTATGGGAAGAACTGCAAAGTTTTGTTGAAAAAACTCACCCAGATAAAGCTGTAGCAGGCCTCTTGCATTGACCTTTTAAATGATAATGTGATGTCTTACTACAGACAAGTGTTAAAATGTAGGGAAAAAAAGTGTCGTTAGACAAATTCTTAGTAAAACAAGCAAGTCCTAGTGGTATGCAGGCAAAATGTGCCAGAGTGTGCATACAAGTGAAGTCCTCACTGCCTGATGTGATAATGGAAGGGGACTCCCCTTCCAAACAGTAACTCCTCTCTTCCTCCCACCTCCTCACTATCTTCCATACGCCTACAGCATTCAACAGCAAGGTAAGTAATAACTTGAACAATATATATATATATATATATATATATATATATATATATATATATATATATATATATATATATATTGTGACGGGAAAATGTTGGAGTGTAGATGTTTGGCAGTCCTCCAATGGCAGGTGTCAATGCCTGGTCACACTTAAAACAAAAATAAAGACTGCTTGCTTGTTGTCTGTGGTAAGTTAGAGGGAGGAACACGTAAAACACAAAGTATGAACAATGAAACTTTAATATATTTACTTTAAACATAAATGAAAATAAAGACAAATCTCGGGGGAATGAAAAGTACAATTAAATAACAAAGATAAATGCAAAGACAATGTGAGACACAGTAGTATAAAGGTGAAATAGTAAAATAGTGCTGAGAATATTGGCTATGGCTGAGACCTCACTTCGTATACTAGCCAGGAGCTTAGTATGCCAGAGAGATGTCAACTCTAAGAACACAATAAATATTCTGAAGTTGATTGTCGGGGTTCACCTCCAATGAGAGGGGAAAGGGGCGAGTAACAGTATACTCAAGGTCACTCACCGTAGCCCTGCGGGTCTTCACTCTATCCTCGCGGCGCCACTGTACGCCAGGAGAGTATCCCAGTCAATCCCAACCGGCCTCTGATCGAGAAGGAGTGGGAACACAACTTGTTCTCTTAACTATTGTGTGCCCGCCCCGGCATGGGCTCTACTATTAACCACAAGGTCGCCAACTGGTGTTTCCGGTGTACAGTAACACGTCAGTGGTTTTGTTGAATTGTGGTAACAGTGGCAAGGACACACTCAATAGATCTGATATTAGGCAGGTATTTACTTATATCACTATTTGCTTTCAGGTTTTATATAGCCACAAGAAATATGGAGGGGATGATATAAACACCTATGTACTTTGTATTTTACTTAAAACTCATTCAAAGACGTCACAAGATTATATCAATAAGCAAACAGCTGTTCCAGGCGGAAGTCGCTCGTTCCCACATATAATCATGAACTCGCCAAGCTGGCAATGCTCCCTCTCACGTCAATGTCAAAATCAGCTGGGCGACTCCCACCGCGCGAATGTTCGTGTATTTGTTTGCATGTGACGTGAGGAGCCTGTTTCTTTAAATTCTCAAAGATCACTAGAAGTTCGAACACACAATATTTGCGACAATAGCACGTAATTACTTCGCTGCACTGATCTTGAGCTCAATCAAACATTTCTATATTAATGGACACAATAATTCACTATCATGGTATTACACACTGCCCTTCATTTAATGATAACGTATGCAAGTATATATCACTGGAGTTCTCAGTAATTCCTTTCGCGGGTGATAACACAATCACTGCACACATGAATGATTATTCAATACACAAGCATAGACTTATATATATATATGGATGAATCATAGACATCAATGATGGTAATAACATAGTTACTGGGCACATAGCCTAACTCCAAATACTGGCATATTTATATATATATATACTCTCTCAATAACTGACCATATTAAAGTCTCATGAAAGACATTATCAACACAGTAAATTCATCAATTACTCCGGGTGCCTGCATACACCAATAATAATAATAAATACCGTGGGTACTCTCTATGTAGTCCCACTCTGTACACTGGTGCCTTACTGTGACATAGGTGAGCCTTGCTCACGACATACAAAATACTCTGGCTAAATAATATAGCTGACTAAAGGGGAATTGGGAGGGAAACTAGAATCACCTACTTCCACCTATCCTCCGGTGAGAGTTGAGTTGTAGCTCCTGGTCCAGGCTCCTGCCTCGTGTAGGGAACGCCCCCACACACACCTGTCGTGTCCTCCAGGAACCCAATCAACGTCCCACCATAAGCGCATCGTCTCCGTGCCTTTTCACTGCAGGCCCGTGCTCCTCCTCGACTACTTGTAGGGTTGGAGTCGGTCTCCCGGCCGTCAACTTATCCTCCCAGCTACGGCTGCCTGCCTACGTCTCGGCTGCAGTCGTTCGGATTCCTGATTAGTGTCTTCTTCACTGCTTCCCAGTGGATTGGCCCAGCCGCTACGTCGTCACTGTGAAGCTATCAGACGTCCCAGACGATACTGCCTAGACTCCACCTGCACAGCACCCGACCCTGGAGCACTTGATGCTCAATATTCCGTCAATTCCCTCTTCGGTCCACACATGGAATGAAGGAAGACCTCCCGGCGTACTGGCAGACTACGGGTGACGCGTAAGATCCACGGGAGTGGCGTGTTACTGTCAGATTGACAGGATCAATCTTCACACATCCGACCACCTTGACGTGTCGTGTCAGACTGATTCCCTCACGGAGGATTGGCCCAGCCACTACGTCATCACTGTGAAGCTATCAGCCGTCGCATACGTCGCTGCCTAGACTCCACTCTTGCACAACACCTGTTCCTGGAGCACTTGTTGCTCAATATTCTGTCAATTCCTTCTCTGGTCCAACACATGAACGAAGGAAAACCCCACAGGTGATGGCAGACCACGGGTGATGCGTAAATCCTCCGGAGACGGGGTGAACTGTCCAACTGATAGGACCCCCCAGCGCACGTCCGACCTCCTTGACGTGCTGTCTTAGACTGATGGCGCCGCCGTGGCGCTCCGACCGTACCCCCCTTCCTTCGTGACGTCATATTCGCCATGGGAGGTTTTCATTGGCTCCCTGTGCCACGTCGCTGTCGGTGACCAATCTGGCGTCACTGACGTCACACAGTTTTGGCGGCAAAACAGAAGAGCCAGCGCCATATTGGGTTCCTAAAGGGCCTAAACCACAGGCCAAAATACTCTTCTTTTACAAATTTCTCGCCACTTCGAGAACACTATATTCTCCCACATATACCAAACTGATGCCTGCGACGTAGAGAACGCTCGGGTAAAGTGGACATGACTCTTACAGCAGGCGTGGGAGAAATATAAGGGGGGGGAACACCGTCACACTATACAAAAATATAAATATAGGTTAGGTTAGGTTAGGTAGGGTTGGTTAGGTTCGGTCATATATCTACGTTAATTTTAACTCCAATAAAATAAAATTGACCTCATACATAGAGAAAAGGGTTGCTTTATCATTTCATAAGAAAAAAATTATAGTAAATATATTAATTCAGGAAAACTTGGCTTATTAAGCAAATCGGGCCTTGAATAGTAGGCTGAGAAGTGAGTTCTGGCTACTAGGTACGA